ATGGACCTTCACACCTGTCTCCACATTTTTGATCTCTCTTTTGCATTTTTTATTAATGCTGCAATCTGATTAATTTCTCCAGATTTGTCTTCCACTTCATTGATTCTGTCTTCAGCTGCATCTAATCTGCATTCACTGAATTTACAAACTTTGATTTTTTTTATTTATAGACGTTCTCTCTGTTTTTTGTTTTTGAAAACTGCCTGGTCTTTGTTTTTATATTAACTTATTCCTCCACATGTTTATCTTAAACCCACTTGTTTTTTCATGTACAGGCAATAACTCCAGTATCTGAGGTCCTTCATGGTTGATTCTTCTAACTCTATCCCGTGGTGGCTTGTTTCCTTCAGTGTTGTCCTATCCTGCCTGGGTGCCTTTTTCTTTGGCAATCCTGCAGTCTGGGGTGAAGGGGGTCCCACCTGGGAGGATTTGTGATTCTCCCACCAGCTGCCTAGGAACCCTCCTAACCTGGAACTCTGGGATAATGTCTTGGCTTAGGGTCTCCCAGACAACACAGGGAGTATGAATTTTTAGTGCAAACCAGGCTAAGGGCAGACTCAATCTCAACTCTTGGGGAATACTCTACCCCTCCAGAGCCTGAGCCAAGCAGACACATTTCCTGGGGGCTCCTGGGCCAGCGCTGCCCTTTCTGTGGCTGGCTCCTCACTGTCCTTCAGTCCTCAGCTCGGACATCTTCCCTGCCCACCCTGTCTCAGTCACAACACCCAGGATTATACTTCCATTCTCTGAAAGTGCACTGTTTTTGTGTGTTGGTTGACCTATTCATATTCTCTCTCCAGGAGAATGTAGGCTTCATGAGGGCAAGAACCATGTCCTGTTTTTTCTGTCCTGTGTCCCCAGGGTTTGAAACTGGCTTGATGATCATTTATTAAATGAACAAATGTTTGAACCTTCCAACTCAACTCAGTAAGGGTCGCCTGGGATGTTTTCTTGGGCAGCTCCTGATAGAACTTCTAGCTTTTACAGCAGTCAGTCAGCAGCAGTGGTTAATGGGGCACCTGCTCCATGCCAGGCGCTTAGCAGGGCATCCCAGGGAGATGCCACATGAGACATCCTGACTTATGAAGTACAGGCTCTCATCAGGGGTGGCAGAGAAATAAGACAGGCAGGCACTCCTAGGTGTCTGAATCTCTAACCTTATGTTGAATATCAGTAGATGGATTATTGGTGGTGCCCTCAAGGTGAGTCTACCCATCCCATGTACCAAAGCCCACATTCCTGTTCCACCTTCACGGAGCATCTCAGACATGCCCTGGGGTCTGGCGCTCTGCAGCCACACTTCCTGCTTGTCATTCCTTGTGCACCTGCCCTGTACCAGGTTACCTGAATTCCTGGTCACAACTGTTCCTTTCCCTGTGAGAGGACTACCCCCCTGGCCACTCCTTGTGATCTGCTGTGCCTTCCATGCAAAGGGTTTCTGTCCTTACCTCAATGATGGTGGCTCAGCCACATGACGTGTTCCACCCACGGGAGTGGATGTGACATAAGCTACATGCGGGGGTATCCACAGATCTGTCCCTCTGCCAGGAGCACGGACTGGATGGGGACTTGTTTCACCTGGGGCAGCTTCCTCAGCTCTGCTCCTGGAAGTAAGAGAAGGCACTGCAGAGCTGTGGGCTGGAGCAAGCTGGAACCATCCAGCTGACCCATGCCTGGGCCCTATCAGAGGCCCTGGCCACTCACCTGACTGGCTGAAGCTGCTCCAGAGGTGACAGCGCATAGGAGCGCACCAGTCTCCCTGACGTGAGCATGGCAGAAGGCCAGAGCCAGCACACTGTCTCTGGCTAACTCCAGGAGCAGGAGCCTGCAGTGCTCCAGGTGTGTGAAGACGTATACCATGGTTCCTAGTCTGAGGGGAGCCCCCGCGGTGTCTGCACGCTGGAGACAGCCTCCTCCCTGCGCCAGCAGGGGCCTGTGCCTGCCTGGTGCCACATCACATCCCCACACATGGGGTGTATCATCTTAACTCAGATGAATGAGTGTCCAAAGAGCCAGAGGTCCAGACCACCCAACTAGAAATGCCAGAGCCCAGAAATGCAGGCAGGCAGAGGGACCTCCAGTGATGATGGGCAGGACCGCAGGAAAGGGGCTCAGAGCCTCCATCTCGTCCAGTCTTCCAGGCTTGGGGCTTCCACATAGCGGGAGCCCTATTGGGAAACAACCATTTGGGAATCCGAGGCTTTAATTTATTTTACAAACTTGGCAGGCAGGTCAGGTCCTCAGCAAAGGTTTTCAGGGTGCCGTGCTGGGGTCCCAGGGCTCTAGACAACCCTTTCCTGGGGCCTCCCTCCCCAACGACACCCAGGCTCTCCAGCTGTCCAGAGAGGTTCCTCTTGAACTAAGTTCCTTCTTTAAAGAAACAGCCATTAGAGCAGATCTGCTCCAAACATTGGGGCAGGGGGCTCATTTGATGGGGCATCCTCCCAGCTTTCAGGGCACTCATCCTGGTACCCACAGTCCAAACGAGGAAGATGAACACAGTGTCATTTTTAAATACAGAGAATGACAATGCAAATAACAGGTTCTGGCCAAAAACTTAACTCTGATCACCAAAGTGATATCTGTCCACTGCAGAAAATTCGGAAAATACAGAAGGCCACCATCTCAGCACCACTAACATTTTTGTGTCCATAGTGGTCCCACCTTAACAAAGAAACATGCATAGAGTCACAGGTACAGTGCACACAGTGTGTTTCCAGTCTCTGCCTCCCCGTCTTGCAGGAGTATTTAAGTGTTTCCACCATAGTGGGTACCTGAGGGGCCCACACCCTGGCTCCTCCCCTTAGTAGCTGCATAACCTCGTGTGCCTCAGTTTCCTCGCTGTAAATGGGGATGGGACAGGGCTGTGATGCCCATGAAGGGCTCACGATGGTGGCTGGCACAGAAGAGAGGCACAGCTCCACTGTGGTGGGCAGCTGGTGTCAAGCCCCCTTGTGCACAGCTTGGTCACCCTACATTTCCTCACTTGACCCCCACTTGCACTCCTTGCCCAGCGAGATGCTGGCGCACACAGACACCAAGTGTCAGGCGGCCCATTCATCTGACTGCAACTGTACCTCGCTGTCCCGCAGTGCAGCACGCCAAATGCTGAGGTCAATGGATGTCTGTCTTCTGCCCTGCCACCAAAGGCAGCCTGTCCTCACAGGGGACTGCTACCCACCCTCTGAACATGGTCATATCCCCCTTCTCTCCCCCACACCCCATCTCATAGGTATGAGACGGGCAGGCACTCTGCCTGACAGGAGCAGCAGTGTAAGACAACACCAGTCAGCTGGATGAGGACACAGGGACCCTCACGGCTCTCAGTTGTACCACCCCAAAGGAGCGGGACCATGTGGGAAACACAGATTCTGTTGTTCTCCCCAAAGTGCAACTCTGGCTTTAAGCAGTCACAGCTGTTTGCAGCTCCGGATCCGGGAGTTACAGCCGGAGAAGGCCGAGCTCTTACAAAGGAGGGAGCCGGCTGGAGTACTGTGCAGGAGAAAGAGCCAAGGGGCCCTGGGATGGTAAACCCCAAGGGCAAGGGAAGAAAGTCAGTTTGCCTGGGTTGGACTTGTTTCAATAAACCTACTTGTCGACAGCAAGACACACAGGAACCGGGAGGTAACAGCAGCTGTGTAACACTGGATACAAAGAAACGGAAGAGACGCCAGAAAAGCTTTTCCTAAATCTCAGCGCAGGATCTGGTGACCAGAACCGCCGCCAAAAGGATGGGGGAGGGGACTCCTCCTTGGGCCCCCAAACCTGGATGTCCTTTCCCAGGGCCTTTTCCCACCTTCCCTGCCCCGTGGTCCCAGTGGGCAGCTCTGGTCTTTGCCTGCTACTGGCCTGGGCCCCCAAGTTCACTGTGAGCCACAGGGCCAGCAGCCGCCCCTGCCCTTAGACATTTGTTCTCCATTGTCTTATGCAAAACACGCAGAAACGGCACTGCTGGTTACTAAGGGGGCTTGGGGAGAAAGAGGACACTCCAGAGGGATTCATGGAGGATCACTTCTACACACGGAGCACGTGGGACGCCCCAGGCCCCCGCAGGCAGGAACAGCGGCCACCAGCCAGGGCCTGCGGGGGACACAGGGGCCCGGGGAATCGGGGCAGGGGAGAACAAGGAGACGATGAGGGTGCGCAGGAGGACTGGAGGGGCGCGGGCTCGGTGGTCTAGGGCTCGGTGCGGGGGACACAGGGGACGGCACGGGATAGAAACGCGCTGGGAGACACGGGGAGTGCGCGAGGGGGGGCGGGGAGACTCGGAGGATACGCAGGACTGGGGGGGCGGGGACGCGCGGAGGCCCGGGGCTTGGAGCGTGGGGACACAGAAGACGCAGGGGGACAATGAGTGCTCCTGGGGGGACTGCGGGGGTGCTTGAGGCGTGGCGCGCCGGGCGGACACGGGGTGCGGGACACGGGAGGGGATGAGTTGACACACGGAGCGCACAGACCCAGGTCTCCCCCGGCCCCTCCCGGGGGGCGGGGCGGGGCGCGCTGGGCGGGGCC